ACCGGTAACGGACACTGTTTGTTGTTGACCTTAACAACTACCCCAGGTGGGAAAAAGTCCTCTTGCTTGCATGATGTCTCCGTCAAGCAGAACCTCATCTGGATCTGCTTCGTGTATTCAGCACGACCGCCGTGTCGTACGTCGCGAGAAGATGCAATGTCCGTGGCCTGTTGCGGTGTCAGATGAAAGTAAAAATTGCATTCCTGCTGCCTGGCAGCGCTTTGTGGAATGAGGGTCGACGGCTTCAGCAGCTCTGCGATAACATCGAAAAACGGTAACCTTTTGAATTCGACGTCCGGATGTATTGGATAGTTTTGGTTCATCATGTGCGTTTGCGTAAGCGCGATCCTAGGTACCGGAGGATACGCACCATACGCATGCTGCTGATACGAAGCTGCATTCTGATTATACAATGTGGCAGAACGCGTCTAAAAAAAATAAACAGCAACTGTAATATAATTCTACAAAACAATAAATCACACATATAAATATATCAAAATTAGTGAAGCAAGTAAGATTTCACCAGTTATTCGTCAACACTAATTTTGAAATAAATAAACAAATACAAAAAAAAAGGAAGGTTACATTGGATGTTTGTACGAAGGAAAAGAATTAGTAGAGGGTAAAGTAAGATTGGCTGGATGAGAAATTAAGCTATTATTAGTGACAAGGAAGAAGGATGATAATAAAACATACAGAAAGTTGTCGAGTATCTACATTGTAAGGGTTAACAGTAGCTCTAGGTACTCCGCCTTGGTGCTGAGGCATGTTGGGTGATGGTGTTCCAGATGGCGTCGTGGCTGGGGACGGTGGCTGAATCTGCTGGAGAGCACCTGTTTGCCTAAAACAACAAAAAAAAAACAAATCAAATAATGAATTTGATGGAACAAATATAATGCAAGAACCAACTAACATACAGAATAAATAATTTATTTTGTGCTTTGTTCTTAAGCCGCATGATGTCAATGTAACCTCGACAATCAGTTACAAACTGCAACCCGTCAATGAGTGCAATTACATCAGGCTAGATATAAGCAAACTGTTGTTGGGATTATTACTGTCCATTCATGTAAATTTCACACGCAACATTGCTTATCTTTTCTTTTTTTTTTTTGCTATTTTATATCAAATATGTAAACATAAAACAAAATCATTGTTTTCACACAGCATACTTTGATGTAGTCGAACACTGATAAAAGTAAAACAATGCTTACCAATCAAAGTAATAAAAACAAGTCTGATTATCAGCACTTGTGGGTTCTGCAGTTGGTGAATGAAGGTACTAAAGTGTTCTTTGCTAAACATCCGTTTTTTTGGTATGATAATAGAATGTTTCCATTGAAGGTTATGTTTAAATGGACGTAATTGCGTTTTGAAAAGGAAATACAATCTCTAATCGAGATCACTCTCGGATTCCAATTAATTTCACAAATAATTGAGAAACAACATCTGAGATGCAAGAATATAGTGCACTTCTTCTACACAGTTGCACTCGTTTACTATTTAAAATGGATATTGGCAACCTAACGAATGCAAAACAATACCAGTACCAACATGAGAAACATGCAGGGTGGGAAAACGAATGAAAACAAATTGTTTTCTCCCTTATCTTATCACTAAACTTGATGATGCGAATTTTAGGTTACTTACTGAATTGTCTTGTAAAGATCTCGAATTTTGGCCTGTATCGTGTACGATCGTATTCTGAGTAACTCCAATGCTCTCTGTTGCAGCTCTGTTTTCCTACCAGTCTTGCTTCGACCAGCAAAACCTAATAGCATCTGCAGTTCGGACACTCTGAAGGTTACTAGCATATTCTTTAAAGATCCAACGTAACAATGAATTGGGTATAGACTGGCTATGTGAGGCACTTACCCGGAGTTCATCTATGTTTTCGGACATTGCCTTTGATATCCAAGAGAGACATGTGGAGGTTTCATTTAAACGGTTTACGTTGAACTAATCACCAGCAATTTCAGCTGTTTACTTTCAGCTTTTTCAAAAACTACACCAAAACACACTGCATCAATATATATTCAACCATACATACACACGTACATACATTGAAGAATAATAAAAAAACATCCACATACATACACACAGACTTAAATTAAATAGGAAGACGCTAACTGTTATTTGTTTTTTTTTTACAGTAAGAGCCAGTCTGTTTCAGTGTAGGGCAACTCTGTTATTCACTGCTGGGATGCGTATCCGTGTTTCCTACTTTTTCCCCCTGCAATTATCCGGTTTCGTTTTACACTTCTGCTATACTTTCATCTAAAAACCGCAAAAACTCGATCGGCTACACTCGACATTAGAAATTACATTGTGCCAATTTAATGTACCCGTCACTAATAAGAATCCACTCCAAACAGTTTTACCAACGTTCGAATATCACCAAAAGTATATACAGGGTGTTCACCTATTCCAATAGGTTATCAGGGGTCATGATAGGGCATCCATGATCTAAATTCTATTCATTTATTGGAAACATATGTATGGACTCACTTTTCCTTTTTCCTGTGCTCTTATCCATATTGCTGTAATACGCGTTCAAAGTTGAAAAATTGAAATGAGAACGTTCGAAAAAGCAGTGTTTTCACATTTCATTGATTTACTCGAAAAATATAATACATAGAATCAATCCAAAAGATGCATATGAAAGCTGAATGTTTGGGGAATCTATCAAGTATCGATATATTACTGTGGTTTTATCCGTTTGGCTGTAATTCGTGTTCAAAGTTTAAAAAATGCTCGAAAAAGCAGTGTTTTTACATTTTATTGATTTTCTCGAGAACTATAAAAGATAGAATGGATCCAAAAGATGCATATGAAAGCTGAATGTTTGGAAAATCTAGCAAGTATTCATATGTTACTGTGGTTTTATCCGTTTGGCTGTAATTCGTGTTCAAAGTTTAAAAAATGCTCGAAAAAGCAGTGTTTTTACATTTTATTGATTTTCTCGAAAACTATAATACATAGAATGAATCCAGAAGATGCATATTAAAGCTGAATGGTTGGGGATTGTAGCAAGTATTAATATGTTACTGTGGTTTTAGCCGTTTGGCTGTAATTCGTGTTCAAAGTTTAAAAAATGCTTGAAAAAGCAGTGTTTTTACATTTCATTGATTTTCTCGACAACTGTAATACATAGAATGGTTCCAAAAGATGCATATGAAAACTGAATGTTTGGGGAATCTAGCAAGTATTCATATATTACTGT